GATACAGGAGAACAATGGGCTGCAATTGTGTCTCTATACTTCATTATCGCGATGGTTGTACTCTAACGACACGATTTAAAGTCCCTATATCTACATTAAATTAGCAATTTATCATCGACGTTTAATTTTAGAGAAAGAAAATGTCCAGTTATCGACGGAGAAACTCTTCGACGTGGTATATTTGAAAAAAAAAAGGAGGCCAATATTGGAAAAAGGAATACAAAATGCGTTCTAGCTCTCGATAAATGGTAGAAACACGACGGTTTCAAGAGGAGATCTTTTATCGACAGGCGTAAGTGCATATCGCGTGGCATAAAGGTCATCGGAAACAAGGAATTAATCGAGCTTTCGGCTGAGAGAGTGAAGAGGATGGGCGAGAGAGAAAGAGAGAGTAATTTCACACGGGCCAGCAACGATGATTAAAAACGAATATCTTGGATCGGTATTTCGCGAGTAAATGCGGATCTTCTCGCGCGACGACGAACGCACACAGGCGAATAAAAAGCGTCGAATGACGCGCATAATACCAGCTGCGGAACAATAGGAAAGGCCGCCGTTGACGGTGCCAATGCCGTCATCCTCATTACCCGCCTCCGCCCTTCTCTCATTCCTTCTTTCTCTACAAATTTTTCCATCTTTTTCTTCCCCTTGTCTCATTTACCATGTCACTTTCCATCGTCCCTGTACCATCCTTCCTTCTCTCTCTCCTTTGCTTGTCCGCGTGGCTTTTATTTTGAAAGCGGGATACGTGGTCGGAACAGGAAACGCCATGGGAGAGTGAGCAATCGGTATTCCATGGTTGTGTCTCACGGAGAGCCTCCACGAAACGCTGCCGACCACGAGAACCGGACCTAGAGCCAGCGTTCTCCACTGGACAAAGAGAGAGAAAGAGAGAACTCTTCCAGCCCAACGGCGACCAAGCTCGATTTTCGCCTGATCAAAGCTGTTTGCCTTTGTCTCGCTAATCGAACGAAGAATCACTATACATATAATTTCGAACCTGAGGATCGATTCGAGAGGAAAAGTTTTCTTCCCCACGTTGAAAACTTTCGAGCTTTTACCACTGGACACATTTCAGCAATTGAAGGGTTACATACATACACATACAGGGTGTTTCGTTTAACTGGAAACGACGGAATACCTCACGAGGGGTTGAAATGATCAAAAAAATGTTCTTACAAAAGTTGTTTAGTATCAAGGGGTACATTGCGTAATATAAACAATTTTTCTGTAGGTGTAGTGGTAGGGGAGATATTAAAGTCAAGTTTATTTTTTTAAATATCCTTGTATTCATAATATGATAGTGTTTGTTACGACGAATACAATGACCTATCACATAATATCTTTCCGTGCAAAGAAAGTCATAAATTAGATCTGCAGTTAGATGAACGCAAGCCGCTAGCGTACTTACTTACATTGCTGTATCGACTTGCAGTTATGCCGTGTCAATCAGGCTGTGCTTCTTATTTCCCTCTATGTCTCTACCTCAAAGGTCCTTTTCACGTGACAGTGCTATCCATTTATACCCAATCAATTCTTTCATTTCTGGCCAAATGTTCTCTCTACTATGAAATAAGTGCCAATATTGTAACAAACTGTACATAAATGAATTTTAGTCTTCACTGTTACAATACTGGCACTTCCTTCGTAGTAGGGAGAACATTTGGTCAAAAATGGAAGAACTGATTTGGTATAAATGGATAGCGCCGTCACGTGAAAAGGACCTTCAAAGTAGAGACATAAGGGGAGATATGAACCACAGCCTGATTGTATAAGTAAGTACGCTAGCGGCTTGCGTTCATCTAACTCCGGATCTAATTTATGACTTTCTTTGCACGAAATGATATTATGTGATATTGTATTCGTACTCAACAAACACGACCATACTATGAATACAAAGATACAGACTTGTATTTAAAACAATTAACTTCAATTTGATATCTCTCCCACCATTACACCTACTGCAAAATTATTTATATTACGCACCGTCCCCCTTGATACCAAACAACTTTTGTAAGAACATTTTTTGATAACTTCAACCCCTCGTGAGATATTCCATCGTTTCCAGTTAAACGAAACACCGTGCTATGTAGGTAGCTAAAAACTTTTATTTTCAGATTTTGGGAAAAGTGAAATTTTTAATACCGGCTACATTTCTGTTTAAAAAGAGAGGAAAAGTAACATTGACGAGAATCAAAGTGACAATTTGAAAAGGCTAGGTAGATCAATTGGAGACATTCCAAACCATTTCCAAAGAAGAATTCGTAGCTATAAATAGACGTTGAGCGACGAAGGAGGAAAGTCCACTGAATGAGAAATAGAAGGAGGAAAGCAACGATAATGCGACAGGAAAATAGCAGCAACGGTCCGCTTAAGGCGACGCGCGCGATCGAGTCCTCGGGCTGCGCCATACCGTCAAATGCAAATCCGCTTCGTAGGTACTGACTGCGACGTGAAAAAATGTTATACGAGTCGGGGGGACGAGAGCCTGAGCGTGGACGTCTCGATATCGATTTCGTCACTGCAAATCGATATCCGTGGCTCGGATAATGGACACCAGATCACGAATCGCAGAAACTCGGTTACGGGGTGCTTATCATCGAGAAAGTCTTTCTTCCTTTCTTTCACTGTAGGGATTCAAAACTGTACATATATATATTTTCATATAAAAAAAAGTAAAAAGTTTTCAGGTTTCTGAGTTTTCTGATGCACGTAACTACTTCAATTCCCCAAAATGTAATTTCTTCGCGATTTAACCGCGAGATAAAGTTCAAAAAGGAGCGGCCAATCGTTCGACCAGTCATCGTCAACAAGATTATTCGAGCAGCGAGTCGTCAACATCCGTCCAGCTGATAAACGAGTGCTTTCGAAATAGGAAATTCGCCGCGCGCAAACGAGTGCCTCAACCTAAAGGGCTTTCGAAGGGGTTTAACCGAGAAAACGTGGCAGCCAAGCCGGCGAAAAAGAATTGGGACACGCTACTTGATCGCGATCCATACCGAAAACGAGCGTATATACGTAGTGAAAAAAATCGTGATCCAGCGTCAACCCAGTTCCAAGACCTCAAAACCGGTGGCTCGTGTTGGCATAGTCGGCACGTCGAGCTCACAGAACCGAAAGCACTCGTTTTCAACCATTCACGCTGTGTTCTCGTGTAAAAGTGGCCCCGGGGATGTCAATGGGCGCATTCATTCGCACCTGTACGACCCCCCCCCCCCTCTCACTCTCTCTCTCTCTCTCGCGACCCTTCTCTATGAATAACTCGAAGGTAATTTTCTTTCCTGCCTGGAGAACCCTACGAGTGTTCACGACGAGGAGCACGCTCGACGAAAAATAATTTGCATTCGCTAGTAAAGAGGTGGGCAGATATAGCGGTGACATTTTATCAAGATAAATGCCGGAGGACTAATTTCTTGAATTCTATCCAGTAATTAAGGAAGCAAATCCAAAGATCAAAAATGAAATGGTGGAAAGGAGCGGTTGGAATGCCTGTCCGTCTTTACAGGGCTCGTGGCACGCCATTCGTCTCTGTCTTCGGGACGCGAGAAGACAACCGAAGGGAAAAGAAAAGGCGAGAGAAGGGCAGTGATGAGAGAAAGAAGAGGGGAAAGGAGGAATCACGAGTCAACGTGGCAGCGTTTCCCAATCTTGCGTGTCTCGATGCTATCCTCGCGAAACGTAATCCTCTTGATAAGTGAAAATCATCGAATACACGTTCCTTCTATATTTGCATCGTGATTTTACACCTGAAAATCCAAACTGAGCCATCAATTGTATCTAAAAGAACACCCAAAGTATTAAAGTGTTAGCCTTCAAGTGAAAAGTCAAGGTATATCAAAGTTGAAAGAATATGCTGTATATCTGAAAAGTTAATCTGGATATGCGTGTTCGAAATTTGACAAAGAACACAGAATGGAGAGTGCACAGGTTGGGAAACGCTGGGCTAGAGCGAGACCGTGCGCCGCGAGGACTGGAAAACGCATTGTTTAGGCTGCACTTACACTAGCCCACCGGTGGGTGTGTCACGCGCGTGAAATACCGGCGAAGTGACTCTGTAGAGAGAGGAAGGGATCCACTTCGTCGGTGCTCGAGCCACGTCGGAGATTCCAGTGGACCTATTCGAGCCTGGCCAGCTTCCGTTGCCCCGTTTTCTGTGAATTAATTACCTTCCTCGCCGATAAATCGACCTTCGATTAAAGTTTCCAGCATGCTTTCCGAAAGAAAAAGAAAATCTAACAACGTTCAAGGCTCGACACGTTTCTCTTCAAATTTGAACGAATACTTCCGGTGTGGAGAAATGGGATTTTTCGGAGGAATTTCTCTTTTGATCTTTCGCAGGAGGCGAAATGGACGACGATATTGCATTACGCTATTCCATTAGCATTATTATCCTTATTGCATTATAATTGCAGAGCTCCCGGCTGCGCTCCGACCCGGAGATTAATTCGTGTCCCCCAGATTCGTCTCTACTTATCACACAGCTCGGAAATTTCATTAACACATCCCCTGTGCACACTGAAATCAGTCACTTCCAGAAAAGCTACGAACACCTACATATGTACCTCTTTTTAGTAGTTCCATTGCTTTTAAATGACACTGCTAACTTCGATTATTCTCTTCGTAACCATAGAATCTACTCTATATCTCAACCATGGAACAAGTTCCTTGGCAGTTTAGAAATAAAATTACACGGAATAAAAATCATCTGATATAAATAGAGGAGACACAGTGGAACATCGTGCGCCGCAACGTTAGAGTAACCAGGACACGGGTGTGAAACGAGTCACGGACTTGCTCCTCCTATCTGCCCACGTATGTTGCGACTCTCCTCTAGCCGGTTTCCCCCAATAACGGAGATTCCCGGTGCTCAGCTGCTCGCGAGAACATGTTCACCGCGCGACATCTAACAGTCACCTGCGGAGTTCTCTTCTCGTAAGTAAGCTAACGGAGTACCGAAGTAGCTGCAACTGCATTAGACGGAGCCTGCAGAGAACTATGTACCGAGAATCTACGCCCACCAATTTCCTTCTTCTCTTGTGAAACATTCGCAACAACCATTACAGACACTCTACAGTGATCTGTAAAGCTAAACAATATCAAGAAATAAACATGATTCAGAATTGATCGGATAGTCTATGCATACGTCCTCAGTTTAGGTCCGAATAGATATAATTCCGAATTGCCAGACATACCCTGAAGAAGTTAGTTACGAAACGTTAGGATAAAATTCCTAGTGGGCACGGTTTAGACAAAGCCTAAAATTCTTAAACTTCTTCAGAGTTGCGCAATTAACAGTGATTATTTAATTTGTATACACGCATATATGTATATATATGAACACATCGAGAAGGAAACGCATGCTTTAGGAGGATGATTGAATTTGGTACTCACCTGCAAATGGGCTTCTGGTCGTCACGTTCATCCGGTGGATTGAGGAAATTAGCGTCGTTCACCGCTGAAGAGGTGGATCCCCGCGGCGACCTTGGGCCGCCGTCCGGTTCCCCGATCAGGACTTCTGTCTGACCATTTTGGAAGGGACTGCTGGCACGTCGTTCACCGACTCTTCCGCCTTGTACCGGTGTCTGCAAGATGAATCACCGTTTCACGATTATATTAATGATTTCACATTACAGATTAAGCACGAAAAGTTCAACTCGCAAGTTTCAATCCCTATAGCATGACGAACAACTAAGCTCTGTACAGAGTTTACGCGAGCTACACTAGACAGTTGGAAATTTTCGATACAAGCACCGTTCCGTATCGAAGAATTGAATAATTTTTCCGGAATTCTTCGCGGTATTATTCGCGATTAATTATGCAAGAATCGCGATTCCAGGAAATGGTTGCCTCACACTTGTGCTTACATAAGCAATGCAAAACGAAGGAGAAATCATTTTTAAGAATATTAAAATCTCTATATAGAGATAGGTTAATTTAGAAATAGAAAAAGAATCGGAGATTTTCAACTCACCAAAAGTTTCGTCTCCTCGTGGCAGCTCTGTTGTTTCTCAGACGCGTCCTTTTTAGTGCTGAGTTCCCTGACAAGCACGAAATCAAACGAGGCACCTTAGACCGTACACGGGTTCGATTTTTAACACGCTGATGCGTCAGGAAGAAAAACAATGACGCGATACGCGCGATTGTTGCAGAAGCAATGGGATATCAATCACGCCAATCGCAATTTCTCACATCCGGTTTGTAATTGTGCTTCCCATTGCGGTGTTCGTACCATCGTTTTGTGCCATACAGATAAACAAGTACGACCCAAACGCGCGCGAATCCTCGAAACCGTTAAACTTCTGTTACGGCAAATAAAAACGCCGTTCTTCGCGATAATCATTCGATTGTCCACGCTGCTGTACACAGTAGATATGACCAGGACCGTGGATAGAGAGGATAATAAAAAAAAAAGAAACGAAGGAAGGAGAGAACGGTTGAAAGAGCACAGAGAAAGAAAGAAATAGAAACGATTAACGACGGAGAATAACGGAGGGAAGTGAAATAGCAAGAATGAAACGCCACTTACTTGTCGGCAAGCGTCACGGTAATTTGGTTGCCCGTCACATTTTTGCCCGCGCTGTCCCCGCCGCTCGTGGACGCGACCGCCTCGTTGATCTGCGCACACAGGTGAACGCATAAAACAATCAGCTGTGGTTTCTCGCCACGCGGAAAACAAAACTACGATCGATTCGTCGTGTCCCTTCTTTTCCTCGTCGCCCTTTCTTTTTGACACGCACGACACACGGCCAGCCATCAGACGGGAAAAAGAAGGAAAACTGTGTGTTTCTGTGTGTAAATGTGTATAACACTCTAGTGATACGGTTTTCGGACCACAACCTGTGGAATACGCGAGTTGCACTCATCCAAGGACGCGCATGATCGCGACTACCACTCACTCCACTCGCTCGCTCGTTTACTTTGCATTCCACATATCATAAGCAGCCCCCGTGACGATTTCCCTGTCCGTCGTTTCTCGTTCGATGAATCGTAGTAGCGCTGTTCGCAATCGCCATTTCGATTACAACGTTCGATAGGATCGAATGGGTACTAATTGTTCGAATACAATGGAGACAACCATTTGATTGGCCACTTTATCTCTGATGCTGTTCTCGCTGTGTTTGCAAAGGGAATCGATTTTAATCGCACCTGCTTCACGATTAACACCTTCCCTGTTACCACGAAAACTCCTATATTCAAGATATCTAACTCTTTAAATAAACATTAACGAATTACAATTATCCCGTACCATACATGAGTCAGCTGTGACAGTGAAGACGTTAACCATTTCTTTCGAATCTAATAGAAACAGATGTGACCCTCTCGACACGAATATCTCCACTGTAATATTACGTAAAGCGATAGCAAGGTAGGATCTTTCTCGGCCAGCACGGTGAAAGGCCTGCACAATCCTCTTTTCCACGAATCTATCGAAACGTCCAAACTGCAAAGGCCATCCGTTGTAATTGCTCGCAACAAGCCTCTTACCTGCTGGTGCAGAATCGCTTGAATATCGCGCGGCTGAATCCTCCAGTGGGATGCCAGTCGCTGCAATCGTTCCTTTGCGCGCCTGCAACAAAAGCATGTTCCCCATTATTACAATCGAACAGATATTTCCCACTTGGCGATTAGAGAAGGTCAGAGTGGGGCTAAAATTAGAAGCAAACGCGGCTCGTAAAACTCGTTCGTTCGCATTGCAGGAAGTGCCAGTGAACTTAATGCCAACATTCCAAATCCGGGACAAAGAAACTGCAAAGGCGCCAGAGGTATTTTGGCCTCGAACGAATAAAGGACATGTAATTACCACGAATTTCTTCTGTTTCGCTTAGAAGTAATTACCTTTCGACGGCGATGACCCAAGCTTCCCGCACCCGACCAGCGTTGAACCCGTCCAGCTCTACTGTCAACAATTTCAAAGCAATTAGTCGCGAGCACTATACACCGTTTATCTTTAATTCTATCCTTCCTAGCTCTCCCAAAACATACAATAATTTCCCTACCTAACGCTACCACACACGCATTGTTAAATAACTTTTCAACCGTTACGAAACCCTCGTGAAACCAACGGATTACTTTTTCTACCGACCAGTACCGTTTCCAAGAGTCGCGACTTCCTCGTCAGTCTCTTCTGTTTCTTCGTCATCTATGAACTTGATGGTAGATAGGTCAAAGTGAGCAGCCACATCCTCTGTCTGCTCGACAACTGTGCCGAAATCAATGGATTTAGTTCCATCGTCGACGATCGATTCGTCGATAACGAACGTTTGTCCCTCGACTTCTGATTTCGTCGAGCAACCACAGAGGAGTATCCTGCGGAGGAACTTGGACATCTTCTCAAGGATCTTCACCAAAATGATAGACGCTTTTGCAACAAACACTAGCCATGCTTTCTTAAATGACACACTCAAATATTACGTTTTCTTTCGCAGATACGATTAAGATACTTTTTAAATTTGGTTTGGTGAAATCTGATGAACGTTCTAGACGATCAGAGACTACTTCTCGCGCACGTGTCGCCGACCCATAGAAAATAAACTCTCCACCGAGGAATGGATGGCACCGCAACTGCCTCGACCAAGGGGTTTATATTTGGACACCGCACAGTGGCATGGCTGGTAAAAATCAACCGACAGAGACGAGTTCGACGCACTTTACGCCAATGTGATCGTCGTTTTATTTGTTCGTTTGTTTATTCTAGTGGATGTTCACGTTTGGTCGAAGCGGGTCTATTGAATGTCGAGTACTTAATGATCTCTTCAGTGGGTACATGTGTTCATCTTTGATCGTTCATTTTATTAAACGTTCAAATCATACACGTATAAGGAGCGTCGAGGATAAATATTTGCTTTCTTCTCGAAAGGTAAAAGTACATCGGAAAGGTATCTGTTTAACTTGATCACGTTTAGAAGTACCTGCACACCTCGCAACGTGCATTTAGTATTCAACTATGCAGTGAGACAAGGTCTTAACAAAGCCATGCTTCCCAATGAAAATACACGAATAAAACCCAAATATTTCCATGTTACGTCAAGGTTGGAAACCGGAATTATTTCATTACGGTTCTTTTTACCCCTAAAGCCCGGCGTTTTCGCTCTGGCAGCAATCTTATAATCGGTGACACTCGAAGGTAACGCGGAAACCGGCGCTGACCCGGAAGCGAGTTCGAGTCAGCAGAATTTTCATTATTTTCCCAGCATCGGGTTTTATGAGCCAGCGGCTCGTTCTCTGAACAACGTGTATTAAGTTGAACGCGATACAACGCTTAAAACGTGATATTCACGTGACCTACGTGAATTTTCCAGTCAAATTACAAATTTAACCATACGAAACTCGAGAAACTCGTGTCCTTTAATTAATACCAGCCTTGACCTTCCCAAAATAAGTCCGATAAATCGATTCGTTCCTTTGTCCAACGAAGAAACAAAGAAACGAAAGTGATTCAGATGGAAGGACGGATTGAAACGAATCTGCCTTGATTAGCGTGGAAAGAACGCGGAGGAGGAATCTTGGTCGAGAAGGCTCGAGTAGGGCGCGTGGGGATGATCCAAAAGAAGGCCTCGACAAAGCGTGATCGTTCTACCTATTATCTCTAGACAGGCCAATCAAGCTGAGTAGAGCAATTCACATGCAGATTCATCGCTGGCGAACAGGGTTACAGCGGCATTAACGCGCGCAAATTTATCCACTCGGTGCATTCGCAAAGAAAATTCGCAACAATCCGCCGTTCTGTCTCTTTTTCAAGCGTTCAAACTTGGCACCGATCCAGAACGTGTTCGAACGCGAGTCAGAGATTCGGAGGAAGCTCCATTCGAACGAATTTTCAAGGGCGAGTCGCGACACCCACGCCAGCGAGAACTTCGTTCCGAGAGTTTTCTCCGAAGATGTATCGCTGTGCAACTTTCGAAAACACGCTAGAAAGAGAAAATTTCAGCCGAGTTGTTGGACATGACGGAATAAACGAAACGAGCAGCTCTGCCAAGGATTCTCCACGGTTTCCACTGTAAAGGAAAAAAGCTGGAAAGCACGAGTGCAAGTCGCGTAATCGAAAAATTCGTCGAATCTGGGTCAAACAACTCGTGACCTTCCTCGTGTGAGGCTCGCGAGTCTAACAAAGCACCAGGGAAACGTCCGACTCCGCGGAAACGCGGCAAGCGCGAGATTGACGCGAAAAAAACCGCGGACCAAGGAACCAAGGCAATTTCGAGATGAAATGCCGGAGGACATGGCACACGTCTACGGAGAAAAGTCTAGCTAACGAGGGGGACGATTAGCATTTTCTCCTAAGGTGAAGACTCTCTAAAGTAAATCTGGCGGAAAATTACGGGCAGTCACGCTCGAACGTGCGTCGAAATCAATTTCTGACGAATTCGGGTCGAGTAAAACGGTACTCTTTTAGCGCTAACACAATTTAACCCTTTAGCCGTGTCCTCTCAAGAGAGGACAAATCGTTTTTCTTTTCTTATAAACAACGCAAATTCTGATATAATTCGAATACTCTGAATTATCCTACCTGTGCAATATGCAACTCTATGTCTCTACTTACGTCAGCTTTTGTAGATAAAAAGGTAATCGATCGATCGGTCAATAGGAATGTAGCATAATTACAAATACTGTTTCTTTGTACTCCGATAAAATGACGTTCACGTTAATGCTAAAAAGATATTCGTAATGAAATAAACGAACAAATTCCTAAGAGTTAAGAAGTTCTATCACGTAGACACGAGTTTGACAGGCGTCGCGACGCCAGTACACGCGGCTGTGACGCGCGAATGCAGCAGACGGCGATGCTGTACGGTATAAGAGTGCGGCCGGGCTTCGATCATAGTCAATTCGTAAACGCTTGATACGCGTAACCAGGCGAAAACCAGTTTTCTAACTGTATAGGCGTCCGCCGGTGCACCGTCTGTTGTGTACGTTGTACGTTGTACAACCGAATAGTGGAAGTCGACTCATTGTACACCTCATAGCGATTCGTGGGAGGCTCTTTTATACGATGTCACAGAAGACTGTGTGTAATATCGATAAGAGCGCGTACCGTGTCAGCGAAATAGCCGGCCTTTTCTTCGGTGCGTTTCACCTATCTTCCATGTACACTGGAAATGGGGCATTAACTATGCCCCGGGAAGGGAAAGAATTCCTTGAGAGAAATTCTTCGTTCCACGAGGTCACCGCGTGCTTTTATTAAAGAGTCCACCTGCTTGATCTAGAATATCGTAGTGAGGCTATTTTTAATTATCCGACAGGTAAAAGCAACGAGAATGTTCACGATTATATCGTGAAACGTTCGAGTGGCGTGCTTTTCACGCGGCTACGTGAAATTCCTGAAATCGTTCCGGTAGAACGCGACGTTACTCTTCGTCCCAGCGTGAAAGTAAATTCGATTAGCGACGGCCACTTTCCACTCGCTACAGAGCAAATTCAATTCACGTCGTTCGATAAGATCGAATACCATTAACAGTGGAGAACGCAATGCCTAAATTGCTCTATCGCGTAATCTGAAACACTGCGAGGAACACTCTTGCTCCAAGAACCTTCATAAATTGTTCATTTATGCTTTTCTGCTGTTTTCGTCCATTTTTGTTACCTTTCATTTAATACATAATGCGTTTCTTTCTTTTTTAGGTTAGACTTGTTTCAACGAAGAAACCGCGTTGCACAAGTTTCTAAAAATACATGAAAAAATTCGTATCACTTGCGGGATGACCTGCTGATCGAACGAGTGCGGCATAAATATTTTCCACCGATCTATTTCTCCCCTGCCACCCCTCGACCATGCGAGGCACACCTACACGTAGAGAAACGAGAGCTCGTTCTCCGTCTTCCATCTCCTCTTTTTCCACTTCCTCCTGTTCCGACCGTCCAGTAATTGTCCCGTGCTCGCCATGCGTGCAACGCTTCCCTGTTTTCTACGGAACTACAAATGATACCCTCGAATATTCGCATTCAGGAATCGATTAACCGTTTCCTCTGACGCGCTATCGATCACGCATCAGCAAAGAGAAAGAGTTTCGATCCCGTTTGAGAAGGTTAGGGACTCGGAATCGCGTGTTCCCATAGACAGCCTTTAATTCCCGTGTTACGTCAAAAGATGGCACGGGTTTTTGCACGTCAAGTGCCGCTCCCCCTTGCAAATTTTTCTATGCCATGCGCGAAACGAATTCTACGACTACGACAGTGTTTGATGTATAAGAATGTTCTGAATCAAATTAAAGACAAATTTCCTTGCCATAGATGGCTTAGAAGTATAGAAGACACGCTGTATACGCGTGAAAGTGTCTCGATGAAAACACAGGCCATTCACGGAAATATCGAGGCAAAGTTGGCGAGGCAGCGATACGGAAAAAAAGGTGGAAACGCACGCAGGCTCGATACGCGTGCTGCGCCGACCGATTGTTGTTGTTCGTCGGCAAAACATTCGCATTATTCGCCATACGTAAAGACGAACAGCCATGCACGCTCTTTTATCAGGCTGGTAATGCGTTACCGCTATATAGGAACGCAATTTTTTACCGTGAAACGCGCGCTAACTCTGCCGGCATGGATCGTACGCCAATTTTATTATCGATTCTGAAGCATCGCAGGAATTCTTACATCGCGATTAAAACTGTAATACGAGAGCATTTTTTCCGAACCCTGTCCCTAATAAACGCACTTTTTCACCCTTTATGGAGTTGCTCGACCATTAGAGGTTATTTACTTTTACAAAACACGATTAATTACCGATTGAACGAAGCGACATTTACAGACATTCGATCGTAAATCGATAATTAACTTGTTAAGTAGGAGAAATGATTTAATTTGTCATTCAGAAAGTTTTCAATGAACAATCGATCTAGTTAACAGGTTAAGTAAATGCAATAGCGAATCACTGCAAAGAATAAACGAAATATCGATGACGTCAAAGTTCGAGGATCGTCGAGAAAGCAAAATGAAAGAAAATCGATCGATCGATCGATTCCACGGAACTTCACTGCATAGAGCAAATTCTCTTCCATTATCGCTCGTGCTCGTGTTTTACTGCAATTCGGAAACAAGAGACACAAAGAGGGAGAAAGAAATGGAAAAAGAGAACGCACCTCGAACACCTTTTTTTTCCGAGTGACACGAGCGGAACTCGTTTTCAACAGTTCGATTCAGCGACGTGCTCGCGCAATATTCAGCTACTTCCGAACTTTTGTCCCTACACTTTACAGTACGACGGAGAAACACTCCTATTGCCTCTCGCCGATTATAATTGCATCTGACACCGATTACCTCTCTAGCCCAGAAACTGCAACCGCAACGGATTCCTCGTGTCCGTTTTCGCGGACGGAAACACAGCTATTAATATGTCACGTAACGATGACACATTGCTCGAGCCTTCCCTACCAAACCGAACGAAAACTCATTTCTCTTCCAGATAGGGCACGTATGCAACGAGAACGAACCTGATTACGCAACAATCGAACGGAGGACGAACAGGAACGTGGCCTTAAAAAGCAACGTCGAAAAGAAGAAAAGAGTGTGAGAGAGAGAGAGAGAGAGAGAGAGGAAAAGGAGCAAAAAGAGGAACAATCACCTTTTGTATCGACTGGCCCGCCGTACTGCGATCCACAATTAACGGTAACCAGCTCGAAATCGCATCTGCGATGTCCTGAAAGATTCGTGGACGAACCCAGCTGCCATCTAGCTCCTCCTGATTCCCTCGACCGGTAAGATAAGCGAGTTACAGGGGACACAGAGTGAGAGAGACACAAGATACGGTGAACACGAGTACACAGAGAGACACCACGAACGCACTGCACTGAACGCACTGGAGAACGATGCTTCCTGGTTATACGAATGGAACCGCGGTATTGAACTGCCACGACAAAATATCGTGCAAAATCGCGTTGGCAGGCACGCGAAAACGAGATGGGAGGTTAGGAGGACGGTAAGAGTACGCGGAATGCCGCGGAACCGCTGGCACCTATGTACGGTTCCGTACTAGTGAGGACCGAACGTGACAGCGGATACATTCGAAGGTTAGATTCCCTCCGTTTGCGGTGTGTGTTTGCCTCTCGCCAAGTTCTCCTCGTTGTCTCCCCCCTCTATGTGATATCGTCTCCGTTACACACAAGCGGCGACCTGAACGTTTACCTGGCGAACGCCGGAATCGCACGACGAAACACGAAATCGGCCGACGATTTCTGTCTACATACTCGTTTGAATCCTATGAACTATGATTCTAAACGGAAATGGGAAACTTTTAAACGAAACTTCGTTTAGTAAAAGGTTCTATGTGCAGCCGTGAGGGAGGAGTTAAACAATGTGTCTGTGGTAATATTGATTTCTAGTTCACGAAAATGGTGAATCATTTGCAGATTAAAGAAGATCACGTTGAATACTAAATTGACAGAATAGTTTTTACCTTCAATGAGTACTTTCATCGCTAATTTTTCGATACCTAATTTTATAACATAATACACATGTCCCCCTTCACAATTCCGTTAATTTCGAAATTTTCTACCTCTATTTACGTATATAAGTAAAAAATAACTAGACTGAGATTAAATTTTCTATTCTCAAGTGGCATTCTTTGTGACTACCAAATCATGCGAAATTATTCGCAAATTCTTATCCACTATTAAAGTACTTACAAGTTAAAGTAGATAGTAAACGTGTCTAAAAACACTTACCCATCTTGTTCCCGCTCCTTCTCCGCACTCGCAGACATATCGTTCGTGATTCGATGCACTGAGGAAAGAAAACAATCGATCAATCGATAAGTGAATCAACGTTTGCTTCTATCGACTCGAAACTATCGAAATACAATCGAAATAAATAATCTATTACGCAATTTTGAAGATTTACAAAAAAAAAAAAAAAGAAAAGAAAAATATAAAATTGTGTAAGTAAAACATTAAATACCTGATATATATATTGAATAACTTCAGATTGGCTGGCATTCTCCAATGTACTACCGTTAACTTGTAAAATTTCATCGGCCACTTCCAACGTGTCCGCGTTGTCAGCCGGTGAACCTGTTTAACACATTCCCAACAATTCACATCAGTAAAGTAATATCCTAATGAACGATAATATGAACCGTATAGAAATTGCAGTAACTCTACGTACAAAAGGAAAAAGGAGAAAATTTGACAACGAGACAAATTCGAGTGAAACAAGAGCGTATATGATCAAACCAGTAGATCGAGACTGTACACAGGACGAGCGGACGAGCCAATTCGTTTGTGTGTCAATGATTACACACGATAGCGTCCTCCTCGAGGGAAAAAAAAAAAAAAACAAGAGAGAAAGGAAAGAGAAAAAAAGGGTTTAACAATTCACGCCTACGTGCTTGACAAGCAACTTTGCTGACGCTCATTAAACAGTATGTAGTCAGTGCTAATTAAAAAAACAGAAGGAAAAAGAAAAAAAAAGAGATATTTCTCGATAAGCAACTGCGAGGAACAGCTCATTGTTTCTTAATTACACAATCGACACTCACCGTATAGTTTGATCTTGTCATTGTGGTTGATCAATATGATAATGTATCCCCCTAGATCGACCATTTTCGCTGGCTTCGTACGGTAGACGCTGGCCTACTCGATTACAAGGAGATGCTTCGGGCGAGCCTCGACGCGGCGTGCACGATTAAAAGTCGACGATAGGCGCAGCCGCCCCATCATCACCGAAAAAACGATTCGCCGATATTAACGTCGTTACCGCGTGCCATTCTTTCCGTTTCCTCTTGCATCTCATTCTACCATCATACCTGCCGACCTATATTCCCCACTAACAACACCCACGTTTCCGTAAACATAAACTCATCCTCCTTTTTTATTCTCTCTCAAATTCCTTTTCGCGCCTCTTCTCCAGATTTCAATAATAATGAGTTGCGGCACAGTTCATTCTCGCCGTCGGCTCTATTCGAATCGCCGATAGAATTCAAACTTCGAAACTTCACTAACGATTAGCTAAGGCTTTTGCGTCCACGTACACCGATTTACGACTAAAACGACAAGAGAACTAGCAACGGATATTCCTTAAGAAGATTGCTAACGAACACGTAACGTTGTCTGGCTGCTGGTCGTTTTTTCTTTTTTTATAAGTATGTTGCTGTTCTTTCCACTTACCACAATCTCCAGAAATCACAGAAACAATCTCTGTTATTTTTTTCTCTTTTTACTTATTGTTCTCTTTATAAGAGTAAAAAAATTCTGCAGAGAAATTTTAATGTTTTAACGTTGGTAAGTTGGCGCGAATAGTCCTGGAGGAAACCCTCACCGGGGCCCCGAACCTGGGCCCCCCTACATCCTTCTACAATCTCTTGTTCCTTGAACGATCACCGAGTTCAGAATCCCTCAAGTCCCAGTTTATTGATTAGAGCTTTCACTGAACGCGACTTCTCGGTTCTCGCTTCGGTCATCCTAGCTGCTTGCATCCTTGAGCGCATGGGTCTTTGCGAGTGACATACGTAATCCGCGAGGAAGAAGCCTCGATTCATAGAGACTGATCCACCACTGACTATCTTCATGCTAACACTGGATTAATACCGTCCTCGGTAGCTTTCGATTAAACGCACATCCTTTGGAGAATCTTATCACACGAAGGATCACACTCACAATCGTTGTTATTCTTATGCAATTCTGTCCTGTGTTCCTCTCGTTCCAATCTGGATTATCTTCGTTCCCTCCCTCCCTCGACGAAGGACACGTACGACATCCCTGGTTATCACTGGAACGATTAACCTTTACTCCCAACGAATATTGCTAATGCTTCCCTTTTTCCTCTGGACGTTTCACTACTTATATCTCGTTTCCCTTCGACTTTGACGGATAATCTCGTAGACTAGTAACAAATACGACCACCCTGCTCTGCCTTGAAGCACGTCACTTTTTCCATTCGACTAAAATCGCATCCAGGGATCGCAAGACACGATTTGATCGCATCGATTCACTGACACCGTACAACTAATTCGTACAGGGATCGTCCTGTCCGCTTCCCGCGATGCCGGAGCTTTAAGATATATCAGCGAGGATGGGTGTGAACCTGTGCGTGTTAACCGACGGCGGCAGTAGCCCTGACATCGCTTGTCGTTCGCTGATCTCCATCCCTCGCCGCAAAGCGGCGGCAGTGGCGGCAAAAAGCCACAGCGCCGTCGTCATTCTCGTAGCGGCAACCCCCCCATCTTCAAGTTTGCCAATCCGCTACCACTCCTTTCCCTCGCTTTTTGTTATCATCGAGTAACACCTTCATGGTATGTAGTATAGTATAGATTGATTTCTAGCAGCTTCATTTTAAAAAATGAATAAAAATATATAGATATATTTCTATGTACTTTTCTCGTGCTGTCCAAGAGGTTAGGCACAACCTGATTCAGCTATATTCACATTGAACCTGTTAGGCGTCTATTAAAAAATTCTATACGATGATAAATAATTTTATTAAGAAATAAAATCATTCTTGCCATAATTTTGTATTTCATTGGTAAAAGAAGACAGATGGTATTTTAGTTCGAACAGAACAAAGAAGAAAAACAGCGATTGTAATTAATACGATTGGAACATGCGCTCGCAATAGTGCATTTATTCACGTTTCTACGTGCATATTCGATGCGTAAAAACATGCCCGCGCACGTGCGACAGAATAAGAGAATTTTCTATTCAAGGAATAGAGAGAAAATACTGACAGGGCGCGTGATCAATATAGGGGATGCTAAACCCGTAATTGCCTGTCTAGTTTTCATGCTATTTTCTTTCAGCGTCCACCTTACGCGATTAACATCAGCTGACTCAATTTAAAAATATTTATAATCAATATTCTAGACGGCATTAAAATGTTGCTCGTTCGTATCCAACTTTTTATACTGGTAACCCCCTCGTACAGCATAAGTAATTATCCATACATGATGTTTAAATTTAGCCAATCAAAATTTATAGTTAAACATATCTTAACGTTCTTTATTCGCGACGATTTAATGTTCTGTACATTCCAAGTGCATTATGCAGCAACTTGTAATGCATTACAATTACGTTCGAGATGGCGCTACTACGCCAATAAATTTAGTTCATAAAACAGTTCGAGATAGACGAATTTATTGGTGTACGGGTTTAAATTTCGTTTCTATTTTAAATAATATTGAAATTAAATTGTCAACTGCTTGAAAATATTGTATCTGAAAAAAGTTTCTCATTGAATATCTTTAGTCGTTTATATCAATGAAATGCGATAAGTATAACTGTACCATGTTTAGACGAGTGCAGAACAAATAAAAGTTTCCTTGATAATATCTGATTCATTGTTTTTGACACATGATGATAAGCGATAAAAGTCCGTGCTTGTTACGAACAAACGCAGTATGTATTTTTACAAAATCGAACTAAAGCATTGCATTTAATTACTCGACAAAAGTCAGGACGGCGAACATCACGAATATCATTGTGATTAATAAATAGACGTAACTTCAACTATTAGTAAATTAATGAAGAATGACGTTATTCATTGGAGTTGTGTTTTTATCTTTGATTTCTACCACGCTGAGCGATGTTATTTACTATCAACCTGAAGCTGTACATCTTTCCTATGGAGGTAACACATACCAAAAATTATTTTCTTCATTACATGCTATTTCTTCGGGAGACTTCTCTACTAGATTGTGAACAAATATCAAAAAGACATTATAAATTTTAGACAATATTCATGACATTGTTGTGACATGGAGTACCCGGAATGATACAGAAGAATCAGTTGTCGAATATGGAATAGGAGAATTAATTTTTACAGCCACAGGAAATTCTACTCTCTTTATAGATGGTGGAAGTCAAAAACAAAAACAATATATTCATAGAGTATGGTTAAAAAATCTAACACCCAATAGTAAATATAGTAAGTAAAATAATTTCTTGCTTATATATAATTTTGCATAAGAACTATATACATGTATACATTCTTTTGATAGTTTATCACTGTGGTAGCAAATATGGATGGTCAAATGTATTTTATATGAAAACTGCTCCTGAAAAATCAACAAAATGGTCACCACAAATTGTAATCTTTGGTGATATGGGTAATGAAAATGCTCAGAGTTTATCCAGATTGCAGGAAGAAGCACAACGTGGATTATATGATGCAGCAATTCATGTTGGAGATTTTGCATATGACATGGACACAGATAATGCACATGTTGGGGATGAATTTATGAAACAAATAGAAGCAATTGCTGCATATTTACCATATATGACAGTACCTGGTAATCATGAAGAAAGATATAACTTTAGTAATTACAGGTCAGACTATATCCCAAACACTGGACTATCAATTCATTCATTTATAATTACATCATTGTTAATATATATCTGCTATTAGGTCTCGTTTTACAATGCCTGGAGATTCAGAAGGTTTATGGTACAGTTTTAACATAGGACCTATTCATTTTATAGGAATAGAAACAGAAGCTTATTACTTTATGAATTATGGTTTAAAGCAACTTGTTAAACAATATCAGTGGTTAGAGAAGGATTTAATAGAAGCAAATATGCCTAAAAATAGGTAAGTTTGTAATTATTTTTAACCTCATGATACGTTAAAAATTAATAAAATTTCTGTAAAGGGCACAACAACCATGGATAGTAACATTTGGTCATAGACCAATGTACTGTAGCAATAAAAATGCAGATGATTGTACCAACCACCAAAGCCTTGTCAGAGTTGGATTGCCATTTTTAAACTGGTTCAGTCTTGAAAACCTTTTTTTTAAGTACAAAGTAGATTTATTATTATGGGCTCATGAACATAGTTATGAACGTTTATGGCCCATGTACAACTTCACGGTAATCTACCATCATGGATACTGTTTTTAATTTTTTTTTAACTAACAAGAATAAACAAATTGTTTAGGTACATAATGGTAGTTATGAAGAACCATATACAAATTACAAAGCGCCTGTACATATCGTAACTGGATCAGCCGGGTGCAAGGAAGGTAGAGAAAAGTTTGTTCCACACAAACCGAAATGGTCCGCATATCGTAGTTCGGATTACGGGTACACAAGGATGAAGGCATACAACTGGACTCATCTCTATCTTGAACAGGTATTATACAGTTTGGAAAATAAAGGTGCAAGGAATGTTTGTTATTATTCATTTTACAATATTTCGATAATAGGTATCCGATGACAAGGGAGGTGCTGTTTTGGACCATGTTTGGCTCATAAAGAACGATAGTTTACCGGCGTACAATTTAGATCACCTTGCAAATGAAATATAGAACATACTTTAGGAAAAATTAATTAAAACGATATACAGGGTGCAACCCTTATAATGAACATCTAAATTATTTCTGCTGCTATTGAAAATAAGAAAAAATAAAAGCAGATTGTATGGTTTAAGGATATGCATCTGGTGACGATAAAATAAAACCACCGAGGTCATTTCAAGGTCGTCGACATTTTTTTGCGTATTAACATCTGTTTTTCATAATACGACATTGTAGCCGGCATCAAGTTGACCTTAAACAATAAAATATCAATGTCGATAACCTTGGGAGAGGAGAGAGGCTTTTGTATCGTCATCAGATGCACATCCTTAAATCATACAAATTCCTCTTAGTCTTTTTTCTTACTTTTAATAGCAAGAGAAATAATATAGATATTCATGAGATCCCCTGAATAGACATATCTTTTATCATTTTTCTCTTTCTCGACAATGTACCATGTTGTTTTGTGGTAAATAGCAAAATTGCATATTTATAGATCTCAAACAATTGACTTTAATTCTATTTTTTAAAAATTCCCCCTATTCCTTCTTGCATAAAAACGCATAGACTACAAAAATTTGCTAATTACAAATGAGATGGAAATTATTAATAATGCGTACGTACAATATAATCCTTTAATTGTTAAAACATAAATATATGTATGTATGTATATGGTGTGGGCGCGCGCGCGCGCGTGTGTGTGTGTGTGTAAAATCATTGTAGCATATAATATTAATAATATAATATTAGGGTAGCATTTCATATTTCCATCTGATTCTCACAATAAATCATTATTTGTCAATGAATTATGATGAATTAGCGCGATTTATACTAAGGAAAAGGAAAATTTCCTAATTCGACAGTACTAATATAACAAAGAAACTCTTCTTCGATGCTGAAAATCGATTTCAGATTTACACAATTCAATTAAAGTTGTTAATGTTTCTATGCTTCTACTTTTAAAATGGATGAACCATTTGACCATTGATTGGCTCCTTGCCAAGTGTAATTTGCTATTTTGGCTTCTGCTACAACAGTTGACTAATGAATTTAAAAAAATATCCAGGAACTGCCCTTTTATAAATTATTACAATAGGGTTGACAATGAAGCCAGAAATATGACGAATACTATCTTTGTTAAAGAAAGAACTGTATGTACGATTATCAAATAACGTTCTTCCACATAGAAGGAACGTGCCACTCTCTATAATATTAACACAGTTTATGAGGCAAACTTAACTTTCATTTTTCTCATTCCTTTTTCTATTCAAACAAAAAATCAATCCCCGTTATATCGCCGCGAACCTACTCAGCAGGTATAAATAGTATTAATTCAATTGGATCTTATAGTACACAATTTTTTCCATGTACAATTTCAATGAATATGTGCATGTATACACACATATACGCATACACGTGAATCTGCCATTGGAGATATGTGTTAAAACCTTTTAAAGATGCATAAAAAAGCATCATAAATTAGCAAAAACTGATATTTCAATTTATCTGCGTTAAAAAAAAATTCTTCCAAATTGATAGACAAATTGCGAATACTCTGCCGCAATCAAATGTCTGACTTTCTTTCACATGCAATTAGCCATACAACTCAATATGTAAACAAAGAAAACGCTTGATACTGTCAGTGATTAATGGAAACAATGGAAGAGGTTGCTGCTGAGTGACTTTCCTGATAGGAAAATTGGGGAAAATGTTCTTGTTCTTCAGCTATTGAATTTAAACCACCCCCACTACCTAAAAAGCCTTGATCAGGCGGCGTAAGTTCAACACTTTCACCCGTAAATTCGCTATCAAAATATCGGGTGTCCGTGTCAGAAGTTACTTGAGGTTTAAAAGGAGGAGGAATTTTTTTCTGTACAAGATCAGACCAATCAATCGACGAGAAAAATGCATGGTCCATGATTTCTTTCGCATCATTAGGTCCACCACCCAATCTTTTGCTTGGGTCTTTAATAAGTAGTCCTGCACAAAAAGGAAAAGCAAAACAAATTAACAACTAGTGTGTTGATCGATTTACAAAGGTAATTCTTTTCGTGTATTGTTTACTTACCACCGAGCATATCCTTTGCTTCGTTGGTAATCGTTCTAGGAAATCTTACTTCTTCCATCACAATAAGTGTGAAAAGCTTCTCATGGTCCTTGTTATAAAAAGGTAACCGACCACAGATCATTTCGTACATAACAACACCAACTCCCCACCAATCTACCGCCCGTCCATAGTCATTATCTTCTAGCACTTCTGGCGCAAGGTATTCAGGAGTTCCGCAGAATGTTTTCGTCGTTCTTCCTGAATGTTTGAAATGTTACCGGTATTTTTGTTTCTTTTTTCTTTAATTAAAAAATTTATACTTTAATTTGCACAACGTATTTACCATACGTTATATCTTCTTTACACAATCCAAAATCGGCTATTTTAATGTGTCCATCTTTGTCTAAAAGAAGGTTCTCTAATTTGAGATCACGGTAAATGATACCCTGCGAGTGAAGGTAGCCTAAAGCCGAAATTATTTCAGCGCCATAAAATCGAGTACGATCCTCTCCAAATACACGAGAACGCCTCAAATGAAAGAACAACTCTCCTCCATTCACATACTCCATTACAAAACAAAGCCTATCGGCTGTTTGAAAACTATACTTTAAAGACTGTAAAGCGGAAAATATTAAATATGTATTAATATTATACATATTTAGAGAGTAATATAATGATACGTAAAACACGTACAATTAGGAACGGGTGATTAGTAGTACGTAGCACTCTATTCTCAGTAAGTGTGTGCGCAACTTCGTCTTTACGAATAATAACTTCTTTTCGTAATATTTTGATAGCATATAAGTGCCCTGTTGCTTTTTCTCTACAAAGAATTACCTTTCCAAATGTACCTTTGCCCAGAACTTTTAAAAATTCAAAATTTTCAAGAGTCTGTAAGAAAATAATACTACTTGAAGTTCCTTGAACACTAAATTTCGCAGACAGCTCATCAATGCTACCACCATCTGCATCTGAGGACACTACCCCAACAGATCCACATGAGTCTGACCTACCACCTCCTGAAGATTCCATGTCAACATCTTCTGATGAAGATGAATGTTGCATTTGTGTTGGCTGCTGTTGCGATTGTTTTTCACTTGCTAACCTGGCAGCTACATACCTATTTGAGAAAAAGTGATATTAGAAAAATCTTTAATTTTATTAAAAATTTTACTCCTTTAGATTTCTTAGAAGTCAAACCTGATTGCTGCCACCCAATCTTCTCTCTCTTGTTCTGTTTCTACATGAAATGTCCTTTCTATTACAGCTGCCCATTGTAAACCTCTTATGACAAATGTATAAGGTTTAGGTCTATCTACAGACATGATCTGACAACCACGAACAGTGAAATTGTTCAATGGTTGTGCCGCAGCTGCCATTTGTTGATCTGGCTTAGATTTGAACCCAACTAATGTACCATCATCTCGTAAAACAAAGTACCTTGATCTCCAATTTTTTATATGTTCTCCTATATAAGGAAAAATAAATTTTCACTTATTTATCATTTCTATTAATACCTAAATACCTTGTTTATTTTATAAATAAATAGCTAACAATGTCTAATCAGCGAAGGTGAAAATGAGCAATATAATTTTTCAAAGTACTTTCTAAAATTTCTGTAAAAAAACATTTCAATCGACATAATCTTGACATTTTGTTATTCAGAAGACTAAAAGATTTAAAAAGTCTATGGACAAAAATGAGAAAAAGTGGCTCAAATCTGTATTACACGCCCGTTTGAAGTAAAGTAAAAAAGTAAACATAAATATTATGAAACTGCTCTGTAGTACCGCGTTTTTGCAGCCAGCCTTCTTTAACGACACGCTGACCGCCGCCACCGGACGCTGCGACGTTCATCGCTGCGTCCCCCATAACTCCTTCTTTAATGCGCACTTGTATGCACTATCTTGATACTTCGTGTTTCCGTCCAAGCTCAATATTCCACGAAAATTGGCGAAATACAACAGCGAGGATGGCACGAGTATACAAACTTGAGCAATCATAGATA